TATTAAATAAATATTGAAGTTTAAAAAATTCTTCAGCCAAATTAATTATTAGCTCTTTTTAAATTGAGCTACTTAAAATAACACACCAGGATGTTATTTTGAGATAATACAATAAATGTGGGTTTGATAGTTCTCTAGTTTTAAAAGGCATCTTAGTAGTCTGTAAATCTTATACTTCATAATGCTTCAATAGTTAATTGGAGTAATTCTTTATTAACATTCTAAAATGTAGTACAATCATTTTAAAGCATGCATGAACAGATAGACAATTAATTGTATATTTTAATTGGTTTATTTAGGCATTTATACTAAGAGCTAAGATAGCTACTCTTTACTATATAAGTACTGTGGTGAACTGAACATTAATTGAAATACCTTTATTTCGACTAAAAATTTAAATCTTTTTTTTTTTAACATTATAGTAAGTACAGTTTTTACCAGATTAAACTATATTATTATATTTTTTAATAAATTACAAATAAAATTCAAATGCATCACTCTTTGTCTCTTTTACAGGTGAACATTAGTTGAATTATTCAAGTTGTTAAAATAATTTGAGTAGCATTCGGTATTCGAATTTTCTGATCTTAGGAATTTTGCCAAATGATATTGTACTAGAATAAATTTAATTTATGTTATAAAATAATATAGGCATTACAAGAAGCATCTAAATTATATTTATTTAACGAAAGTGGTAATTTACTGGCAATATAAATTTGAAATTACTATTAGGATCACAAAAATGGTTTGTATAATATTTATAATTTTCACTTAAATCATATGAAAGTAATTTTTTGGTTTTCATAACTCGGCCAGCTCAAATTTTGATATTTTATAATAATGAATGATACTTATGACTATTTTTATAATTCCTGAAACACCAATAAAAATTAGCTAAATGATCTTTCAGTAGATTTGATTAAGTTTGTGATTTTGGCATAATGGGGTTTCAAGTTAACAAATAAGTGATGCATTTCAAATTTTTTTTCAATAGCATTTTTATTATGAATTATAAATTAATAAAATAAAATAATTAACTTTGAAACCCCTAATAATTTAAGATCAGATAAACCAGACAGTCAGGTTTGAACATTACAAACTAAAAGAAATTAATTTTGGGTGTTCTTATTTTTATTTTATACTTATATATAACTAATAATTTTTTAATTTGTTATTAAAAGGAACTGATAGGGTGTGGGTCCTATAGCTTAACAGTTAAGCTCTCATGCCCCTACAGTCAAGATCAATGGTTCAAGTCCAGCTGGAGGCAAAAACTAAAAAGATTTTAGCTACTGTAACCCAATAAGAAGCCAGTAATTGAATATGAAGCCCTGTGTCAAGTTCAAGTGCAGTATATGACCAAAGTAGGAATTTCTGAAAGAAGACCCAATCATGGAGCATAGGCACTATGTGTAACAAGCAGCTATTACAGAAGGTTATGGTTATGAAAAGATTGCATATGTAAGTCCTTTAGGCTAGGGTAGCACCAACATCCCTATACCTCCTAATAAGGCAATACCAATATCTCTGCATTCAACTTGTGGGGTATTTGCTTGGAAGGATAATTAATGGATTGTGTAAATAAGTTCTAATTGGGACCCAAGGAAAAGGATTTGATTGTGAAAATAGTCTGGAAGTAACTAAGACTGGAATGATGAGAGAAGCGATAAACATGAGAATAGGCTATAGAAAAGAATTAGCCTTATCAAGATTGGAAGCATCTCTGGCGCTGTGGAATGTTCTGATATTGAAGATAGCAAAATGTATAGAGAAAGTAACCTGTTAAGTATGTCTAAAGGTACCAAGCCAAAGCTCTGGTCACACCTATATCAAAGTTTATGACGATATAAGGATGAACATACTAACATGAATGCTACACTAATCAAGGTTGAAATACTCCAAATTGGAAGTAATAACATATTACAATGGCGACAGCTGTAAGAGGTAACTCACAAAACAGGTTCAGACTATTACTATAAAAGGGAATACTAAAGGGGCAGGTTAGTTGCACAATTTATTGAAAATAATATTAAGACCAGAAGAATGCAAACCAGTAGCAGCAGCAGGGACCTGGCTTGAGATATGTGTTACTAGTACCTGAATTGGGAAGTTAGGAGTGGCAGCAGGACCTGGTTTGAGATATGAACTGTAAGGCATTGTTCTGACAGACCAAAGATGGTAGCTTATAAGAAGTGAATGACCTGGTAGACCAATTTGGAAGTTGTTTAAATAGGTTGTAAGACATAGGAGGAATATGCAGGTTATCTAATATAGATGGATGTAAAACAAAAATCCAGGTTATATGTAAGTGGGATACAAGATTAGCTCTAGTAGGTTTAGGTCACAGATAAATTAGTCTGAGTCTCATTTCTTAATTAGACATATAGTAATAGTTAATATATAATGTAAAAAGTTATACAAACTGTTATATATGTTCGAATAAACAGACTTGAGGCATAATCTCACCTTAACTCCAAAAAAAAAAAAAAAAAAATTAAAAAAAACTGATATTTATAATGATTTTATTTGTAGTAATAAGAATTATTATTATTCTTATATTATTATAATTATAATAATTATTATTCTTAAACTTTATTTAATCAATAAATAAATTTGTATTATTATAATCGAGAATAGGATAATAACACACTATTTATTTTTAGTTTATTAGATATAGATATTTTTAAGCATCTTTCTAGAACATTATATTTGGTCCAATATATTGTTTTCAATGTTGGGCTGACTAGACCAATTTGACTATTTGACCAAACCATTTTGACCAATAACCAGTCTGGTCAAGCATCTTTGACATTAGTCAAGTTGGTCAAGTGGTCTAGTTATAAGAAAAAATTGTTTAATTAGACCAAATAACTATTATCAAATTTGCTTAATTGTCATATTGCTAGACCATTTGATCAGACCAGTTTGACTAGAAACCCTTTGACCAATGACCAGCAAATTTATAGTCGACCACTAATTTGACCAACACTGGTTGTTTTATATACAATTCACACCCAAAACCAAAAGCTTAATATAGCCAAATCAAAATTTTACCAAATCGACCAAACAATTATTCAACTAATTTTTTACCAAATGTTTCTAATTAAGACCCAAGCATTGCTATCTTAAAAAATTTCTCTGAACAAAATTTTGCTGTAAGATAGGGTTAGGTTTCACTATTAAGTCAGCTAGAAAGACCTTCCTTAATATCAAAATTTTACAAGAGGAACTTTTGATTAGTGTGCAGAAGGGAGTTTCATAGATAAAATGTTGAACTATAAACAATTTTTGAGTTTGTTTTGATTTTTATATTTTTTCTGTGTTACACCCTATCTTGAAGTCTATTTAGCTTGTAAAATTTTTTATAATAACATGAGAATGGTATAGACAGAAGTTCATCTGATTGGTTGATTTTTATAGATCTGTCCATGATTACCCGTGATTATTAACCAATCAAATTACATAAATTTTAAAAACTTATTATTCTAACACTAATATGTATATACAAAAGAATTCACCATATTTAATAAAAAAAATAGATACACATAAAGTAAGCAAATGTGATATTTATTTCTACTGTAATATCCCTGACTGTATTAATAAATCTGAACTCAAAGAATTTATGATACCTGATATATAATATAATCAAAGCTTTAATTTATGATTAACTAACCCAAACATACTAAAAAGAACAGACAAATTTAACATTAAATCCAGACCTTTCTGCTAAAGAACTTGTACCTATTCAAATTAAACAACAGTAAAAATTTTATTTAAATATAACATAATAATTAATAAAGTTCTTTGAGACAAAAACGTTCTTAGTTACCTTTATTCTATAGCATAAATTCGTCGGTACAATAAATATATATTATCTTATAATCAGGGTGAAATCTTTTCGCATAGTGAATATTTACTGTCGTCTAAAGCAACAGGTGGTTTTTGCATGTTAGTGAAATGTTTGAAAAAGTACTTTAAAACTACCTTTAAGTTTCTTTTCTATAGCCATTTTAATAAAAAGTCACTACTAAGCTAATACTACTTAAATAAGATCTTATTAGAGATTATTTTTAAAGGTAATATTCTGACACTTTAACGAAGAGACCTATATAAAAATTGGCGTTCTTTTAGTATGTAACACTTGATTTCTTAAAAAGTACTCTAAAGCATATAAATAAGTTACCCGAGCAATTGATTTACATCAGCCAATCAGACGAACTTCTGTCTATGACGAGAGTGGTTCTTTGTTCTTTCTAATACTACAGATGATCCAGATAATCCGTTTCGGATATCCGATCTAAAAGGATGGATATCCGGATATGGTAATGCGGATAAATGGATAACGATTGAAACTTTACTGTAGTATAAAGTTTGACTGTATTATGAATTCGTTCGATTAAATTAAGTAACTTAATTGGCTAATTATTACGAGAAAACACGGGTAGATCTATAAAAGTTAGCCAATTTCCTATGAACAAATGACTAATCATTTAGGTCATTTACCATCCCTGGCATTAATTACTGCCAAATGAATTCACTATTAAAGAAAAACGGCCATCCTAATTTGATAGTAAGTCGATACTCTTTTATTTCTTTAACTGATGCAACCAAATAATTAAAAAAAAAAATCATTGCAAGAAATCAATATGAGTTTGCGAATGATACTTTATTTACTTACAAATTTTTTCTTTTTTTGCAGCCTTTTCATTAAAAATCAAATCAATCACAAAAATAGACATAAAAAATAGATAGCATTACATTTTTTGATTAATTAAGAAATGAAGTGCAATGTTTGCTTTATGCCATTTTTATGCCAGATTTTATAAACAAAATTTCACAATGAATTCCTTTTGTTAATGCGCAGAAGTGGTTTTATAAACTTAATTTCGAGTTGTGATAAATTTTTTAAAACACATGATTTTCATGTTATACTTAATCTTGTAATATGATTAGTCAATCTATGTCGATTTAAACTGCCGTATATGACAATATGTGACCAATCATATTCTATTTTCGTTAATCCCATAATTTTTTTCAATAAGCAAGCATAGGTAGTATATAAGCTTACGGTTACTCTCTCTTGTAAGTTCAGAAGTTGAGGGCTCCCGAACAGAGTAAGGCAAACCCAATGATGCTGATGGAAACAACCTACCCTACAAGAGGGGTGACTTGGTTGGGATACCTGGGGTAGCATCCCGGGTATACTTCAAAAGCCGGTAGAGGGGGTGTAGCTAGCACCGGGACCCTCCGCGGAACATCCTATCGCGAAAGGGGTAGGTTGGGTACTACCGCTTGACGGTACTATTTTTTACTTCAACTATTAATATCATAACCAAGAGTCCATATACAAATAAACTGATTTTTTTTATTTAATTTAACAGCTGCCCCAGTTTTGTTCAACGTGTTCATGTCTTTTGATATGATGAATATCAATATCAGGTAAATTTTCTGATTTACACGTAATTCTTTACCTCAAAACGTCAAAAAGAATATTAGAATTTCTTCAAGCATACTCCTGAAAATGTTTATAAACTAAATTCATATTTATCGAATGTGATTTAGTATAAAGATTTTCAATTTTCTTGTACTTCTAACGAACTTAACTAATTTTTATTAATATCTACACATTAGAACGAATTATATCAACTGTAATTTCCTCAAATTCTGCGTGTTTCGTAAAAATCATAACAGAGATTTTACTAACCGTTTCTAATTTATCCTCCCATCATATACTATTATCGTAAGCTTTTTATATCATCAAATCAGTTCATTTGATTTAATACTTTTAATCCATACCTTTTATTGTGAACAGATTTTTTCAACAAGATCAAGTGCCTACACGTAAAATCAAGAATTAATTATTTGTAATAAATAAGCAGTAAATTTTACAGAAAATGTTTTTTCCTTGTAATAATTATAACGGTCAAATCGTTCAGATTTTTCTAGCACATTATGACTACGTCAGTAATCTAGAGGATCCGCAGGTGTCATTCGTTTTTTTATGTAATTGTTCAATCCGTATGAAAGTATTTATTAACTGTTCAATATATATCATCCTCGACTATAATTTCTTAGACGATTATGTTGGTTTCTAATTTATTTGTTAAAAAAAAAGAAATTAATTACAATGAAGTGCCGACACGAATTAATAAAAGTTATATATCATGTAGAATTCCTGCGTAGTCTACCTGTTTGCTGATAACCATTTTTGATAACCTTTCAGTAACTTCTTTCGTGTCAATGCACTTGAACATTATTAGAAAGCCACTAGATTAGGAGGTGATAAAAGATCGTCTTATGTCAGGTTTAGTTACAACTGAGGGAATCAATAGTGAGATGGATGTTCAAACATTACCTGTCGAATTATGAAAAATCAAATGAATTGTCAAATATCTTGCAGTATAGCTAACTCCATTAATAATATATTTATTAATCTATTGTTTAGAATAGATGTCACCTACATTACAAAAAATCCAAATTGTCAATTAGAAATCAAGTTAAATATCTTCATGATCAAAGGAAATATTTTGTGTTATAACGAATATAATACACATAGTACGTGGTGCCAAACATTGTGTCAGACTTAACAATGCAAAAATCGGTAAAGGAGATTGGGATCTGTGTATTCTGCAATTTATCTGGATCGTATACAAAATTTTAAAATAACTATAAATATATAAATTTACGTAATTTTTGCACTCAAGCCTTGTCGATTTCTGAAAAAAATTCACAAATTTTAATAAATTAAAATTTATCATTGTACATTAACTAAGTACATATTAAACAAATTTATTCATAAATTAGGAATTACATGATTTGTAGACAATAGAGCGGTAATTTTGAAATGCATATAGTTCTCATTTTAGCGACAATTTGTCATGATCAAGTTCAGTGACCTGTTGCCTAAAAATACTTGTGAAATTAACGAGGATGGTGAACTAATTTCACCGTTATTGTGAAATTGATGAAATTAATTTCACCAACATCAATCCCTGGTCATTCAAATGACATCAAGTCAACGCACGTCTTGAATGTGTGCCAGGTTGGTGGCGCAGTTAGCCTAAGCCGCAATGATCGACATGCCGTAATCGATCCAT